CGCCGCCCCCCCCCCCCCCCCGCCCCCCCCCCCCCCCCCCCCCCCCCCCCCCCCCCCCCACGGCCGAGGCTCAGAAACGTAAGAATTTGATGACGTAATATGCGAACCGCCTGCTTTGTAATATTTAAAAATAATTGTTTATGAAAAATTATTTCTTCAAATGCTGTTTCTTTAATAATTCGTTTTTTCCAATGCCAATTTTCATTTTGAGCAACAATTAAACATAATTCTATTTGATCAAGTATAGAATCACGACAATATTGAAAAGTTTCTGGAAAATTCAATTTTTGCATATTTTTACTACTGTTAGTCAGTATTTCTTCTTTAGATATTTTATAAAGTTCCCGAGGTGATAATATATTTTCATTTTCTAATTCTATTCGTAATTGTCTATATTGATCCTTATTAAAACCTAAACTCTTAAAACTATTAAATGTTAATAATTTGTCTTTTTCAATAATTGATTTAATTGTATTCAAATTTTTATTAAATATAAATTTTTCATCATTTTGTGAAATTCAAATTTTACTAGCAATAATTATTTTTTTACTTATACGATTATCTTTTATTAAATCATAATCAATTTTAATTATTTCATTAAACAACTTTTCTGTATCATTACCAATTATTTTTGCATTTCGAAAATTTTCAGATGTTATTTCTGAACCAATTGCATCTAATATTGAATTTATATGAATTGATAAAATTTGTGCTTCACCTTCATTTTGTTGTTTAAAATAATTTGAATTTAATCCAATACCTTTTGTTTGTATTATTTGATTAAGAGATGTTAATATTTGATTACGTGACATTATTGTATTTCGTCTTGTATCTAATAATTTCAGTGAACTTTTAAGATGTTTTTTAACTTTAAATTTTCCATCTCTCTCACCACCTTCTAAATTAATAATACAATATGCTTTATAATAATGTGCAATTTCAGCATTATCTGGAAATTCATCAATAATTTTATTATAACATCTTTGTGCTTCTAAATATTTTTTATTATCTAAATATAATTTAACTAACTTGATTAATTCACCTGGTTCAGTGATTAAACCAAATATATTATGACTATCTAACATTTGTATAATCTCATTTTTAAATTGATTAAATTCAATAAAAATATTCTCTTTTCCAATTAAATATACTTATTCAAGTTTTTCTTCCATATTATTAAGCCAAAATGCCCATTTATTTTGTAAACTTTTAATTTGTAATTCAAAGTAATTTTCTTTTAATTCATTTTCTTTTAAATTTAAATATTTTCTTTCAATTATTTTATTTAATTCATTTTTAAATACATCAAATTTACCAAATAATTCATCTTCAATTTTAATTTTATGAAATGATTTTGTAACAATTTGATTTACTCTTTCTTTTTCATTTTCATTTCTTACATCTGAAAGATAATCAATAGTCAAATTGGGTATACAATTATTTGATTTACGTTCATCATAAACAATATAGATACCAGTGCCACGTTTTCCCGCTCTTGCTGTTCTACCAAATGCTTGTTTTTCAACACGTAAATTATTTGGTGTATATGTTAATATAACATGTAAACCACCATTTCTTTCAAGAAACTTATCAATATCCAAATCAGTACCACGCCCAGCAATATTCGTTGCAATTATAATATCACCACAATTTAATTGACTTTTTTCAAATTTTCTATATGCTCTATCATATGTATAAATTTTATTCCCTTTATGTTGAAATTCTTTTCTCACTTGTAATGAAATTTTTTCTAATTTAACAATATTTTCACATATAATAAGTACAGCTCGACGTTGATCTACTGAATTTTCAGTATTTAATAATAATTCATAATTTTGAATATTTTTGATGAGATCAGATTCTTGTATTTTATAAAGATTTAAAGATTCTTCTAAATCAATTATAGTTTCATTTATATCATCAAATTCATTTTTTACTTGATTTATATTTATTTCACATATTTCGTTTTGATGAGAATAGTCGTCATTGTCATCATAATCTTCCTGATTTTGTATTTTTCTATTTAAGAGTGTATTTTTCATTTCTTTAAATGTTTTCATACGTTTATCTATACTACTCTTTTTTTGAAATTCATCATTAAGTTGAGTCGTAGTCTTTTCTATTTTTAATTTTAACATTTTATAACGTTCTTCTAGTTGAATTTTATTGTTATTTATTTCTTCTTTATTATTATTATTCATTTTATTAGTTTTTAATTCCATTTTTTCATTTACATCTTCAATTAGTTTTTCGTACCATTCCCTTTCACTACTACATACAATTTCTTTCATTTTTTCATATTTAAAACGATATTTTTTAAAACGTGGTAATTCAAAACAATCAACATCATATTCTAATGTTAATAATTCTCTTTCTTCTTTATCACCAATTGTACCAGTCATACCTCTTAAATTATTATAACGTTTAAAAAAATTCATATTTGACATAAATACGGCTTTTAAACATTCATCATTTATAAAACTACAATATTTTAATTGTAAAAATATATGTAAACCATTACTCCAATGTGATGTTAATTGTTCAATACCTGTATCTTTATCCATAATTAATATTTCACCATTCTTATTCGATTCTTTATCACCAATTATATAATTATCATTATTTTCAATAAATTTTGCACAATAGGCATTTTTAATCCATACATTTAAATTTTATATATTCATTAAGTGTTAATGGTACTTTTATATCATTATTTTCAATCATTTTTAAAATGTAATCTCTTATTTTATCAACATTCTCATCATTATAATATTGTTCAATTTTATTATTAACACAGACCCATATTTGTAGAAATAAATCTCTTAAATAACGCATATCAACTATATTATGTGATAGATGTAACATTTTATTAGCATTATCAATAAACATATTGTCAACTTCATCAACAATTAAAGTATGAGCAATTTTTTCACATATATTTTTACAAAAACATTTTGTTAATAAAATATCACGTTGAAAATAACCAGTTTCACCATAAATAATTTCATTTTTTAAATAGCGTTTTTTACGTTCACTTTCACCAGTATCTGAATTATCACATGCATTATCACAATTATTATTTACATTTAAACCAAATAAATTAAAAAATATTTTATAACCTTCTTTTGGATCATTACTAGAATCACGCTGTGCTAATATTTTTGAACTTGTAACAATGTCAACGTTTTCACCAATTAATGCATATGATGTTGCAAGCATGGCAGTTATAAGTGATTTACCTTCACCAGTTGAAATATTAGCTAATCAATCTTTATTGAATTTATTTGAATTTAAAAATAATGCTAAGGCAATCAATTGTATATTTCTAGGATGATAACCTTTATAAATTTCAACTGCTCGACTTGTCTGGCTAACGGTCCCGTTTTTTCACTCATTTTCAAAGAATCGTTGCAATAAAGCTAGGAACTAATTTAATTCGAAATAGATGATCTAGTAGAATAAATATTTCTCTACAAAATGAGAAATGTCTCGACTCTGAAAGCTGATTAGTTATGAAAATACAGTTATTTTACAAGGAGCCCAAAAAGTCGATTTTGGGG